AATGTGAACAGGAAGCTGAAGGAAAGACAGAAGGGAAGAAAAGAGAATGAGAAAAGAGACTTCCAAAAGTGCTGGCGAGGATGACAAATGTTGGCTATTCTTTAAAGTTTCAAAAAACGTACTTGTAAAGATTGGAGTTACAGGCCCACCTTGGAGATACCGAGGGTTCGGTTCTAGACCACCACAGCGAGGATTGTAATAAAGCCAGTCAAATGAAATTCTTCTGGTATCCCATGCATATAAAAGTTATGTTTACACTATACTGTAGTCAATTAAGTGTGCAGGAGCACTATGTCTTTAAAAATGTACATACCTCGATTTAGAAATATATTATTGTTACAAAACGCTCTCCATCGTCTGAGCTTTCAGCGAGACATAATCACTGAGCACAGGGCACCATCATAAATATCATAATAAGGAAAAAGTTTGAAATATTGTGAGAATTATCAGAAGGTGACACAGAGACAGGAAGTGAGCACATTCTGTTGGAGAAAAAAATGGCGCCGGTAGATTTGCTTGACCCAGGGTTGCCAGAAATCTTAAATTTGTAAAAAAAAACACAGCATCTATGACATGCAATAAAGCCAAGTGCAATAAAATAAGATATGCCTGTATTTTAAATTTCTTTTGGTTGTGGAGTTGTGTTTCCCTGACTGCAACACAAGACCAGGCCATGAGTAGTTCTTGATTTATGCAGGATATAGTAGAATAACCTTTATAGCAAGTACTCTAGACGGGGGACTCAGGGGAGGACTTTAGGTTGATTATAAATCCTCATAATTGTATGAAATTTCTGTGGTCACGTGTACATGCATACTTTGAAGTGATGAGAACCTTCATGCTCATAACTTTTATCAGATTCCTTTTTTTAAAGATTTATTTATTTGAAAGAGAGTGAGCGTGCGAGTGGGGGTGGGGGAGGGGCAGAGAGACTGTGGAGCCAACTCCCAGCTGAGCGTGGAGGCCGACTGGAGGCTCCATCTAACGACCCTGAGATCACGACCTGAGCAGAAATCACGGGTCTGAGGCTTAACTGCACCACCCGGGGCTCCCCAGCTTTTATCAGATCCTTAAAGAGATCGTGATTCTTCTTACAAAATATGAACAGACAGCCACTGGGGAGAGAGAAGACACCCTCTCAGGGCAAAAGACCAAGTTAAAAAAAAAAAAAACGTAACCACAGAAGAAACCTGATTTCTAATTGTACTACAAAACTTCAGATGTTAGTCCAGATCCATTTATTTTGCCCGAGATACCAATGTATTCCTTCCCTCCCCGTAAATTCCTCTCCTGATTTCCTTGGTATTTGAAAATAACATTCAGTGGTGAGAGGTTTTTTGTTGGTTGGTTCATTTTTAAAGAAAGTACTCCATGAATGTGCTAAATAAAGCAGGGGAAAGAACCACTGGCATTTTTGGGGACTCAAGAAAGGTGGAGGGAAATCAGAGTTCAACTCACAAGCACATCATTCACGGTAGTTGGAACAAGGCATCACGAGAAGCTCGGAAATCAGGGAGGAAAGCACAGTAAATATCAGTGAGTATGAGGGTCGTCGGACTGATCACCTGTGCCGTTGAGGTAGACGGAAAGACATCTCCAGTGATGACTCTCCTACTGAAAGCATCAGCGCATCACGCCGGTCACAGAAGCCTTCATGCAATGCATCATGGCTTAGACATCCCATTCTACTAACTGGATGGACATCTAAATTCTGGAGGGCAAAGAGCGCCCATGGGAGGACTGAGAACCATGAAAACCTGCCATTGCTTGGCTAAGTTTGTTCGAACCACCTACTCAAGTGTTTTAGATGAACCAAACGGGAGGCACAGAGCAGCTCCTGAGTCTTTCACACACGCCTTCCTCCTTCATCTGCCTCATTCCTCCTGGCAGAGCAGCACCCACAAGAACACACCATTATCTTACTCAAGACCAAAAATTCAGCTCAGGGTCTCAGGAGAAGGCCATCAGCAAATCAGACATAGTCTTTTGGGGTTGGGGGAGCTGAGTCCCAGGCATGCCACCGGCATTCGTTAAATGCTTATTGAGTCAATGAGTAGCTAAATGAGTAAACTACAGACCTCTTTCCCCCCTTCCATCACTGCGGTTCTGTAACTTTCATTCTAATCCCCAGCACCTGTGAAGATGATGTGGCAGGCCCGAGGGAGAATGAAGGACTCAGCTGGTGGGAAGACTGGCTTTGTCCCTCTGAGCCAAGGGACCTTTGGGAATTTATTTCATGGCTTTGAGGCCTCAGTTTTCTCATCGATAGACTGGGTTAAAACTGGCAATCTTGTCAGGCTACTTTCAATGTTAAATGAGATCCCATGTTTGAAGGGCCTAGCTCCTGGTCTGCACACTATGGGCGCCCATGCTCCCTCTCTCTCTCTCTCCCTCCTCTCCCCTACCCTGCACAGTGCAGAGATCGCAAAAGAAGAGAAAAAAGAGAAAAAAATAAAATGAATGGAGACAAAAGATGGGGAATCCATGCCACCCACTGCTGCCTGGGGTGGGGGATGCCAGTTCTGTGGTTCCTTGAGGATTTCATAAAATAAGGGTTTGAAGAGCTCTATTATTTGTTCATCAGAAAGAGGGGCGGGAGGGAGGGGGCTGAAAGGGGTGGGAGTGTGAAGAATTAGAGCCCTTTGGGATGGAACAGGAGAAGGGGGGAGGAAAAGAAAAGGAACACAGGGTAGGACCCAGACTGGAAGAAGACACGGATGGGATTTTCTCAGTATGGGGACTGCACCTCTGCTCAGAGGTGAATGGAAGTTCAAAACCAAAGGGTTGTTCCTCTTTCTTTTCTGTTCCTGTTCCTACACAATCTTCCCCTTCAGTCTACACATGTAGGAGACCATACTCATGCACGTGCATCTGTGCGCTTGTTGAAGGTAGAGCATGTGTTCTGGGACGGCAAGGGAAAAGGGCAGCACACATTTATGTCAAATTTCAAAGGTTACAATGGAGCTTTGAAAAGCACTGGCGAGATGTTCTCTTGGGATTAATAACTGAAAAGTAGTTAAATCCTATTACGTCTTTGGACCTGTCATTCCTTATTCCTTTCTTTAAGGTGATATGGGAGATAATCTGTCTATCTATCCTCTATCTGTCATCTGTCTACCTACCTACCTACTGTCCATCTACCTATCACCTACCTACCTACCTACCTACCTATCATCTATCTAGCATCACCTTCTTCTATCTCACCATGTAGGCAAGATCTCTGCCATAAAGAATAATGTTACACTTTGTAGAATGATGCTCAAGGTACTATGGGTAGGGTAGGAATATTGGAAAATTCAAACTTCTAAGTTCTAATGAAACAACTTAGTCCCTTTTAGACTTTGCAGCCAATGCAGATTTTGTGACAACAGAGTTATAAATGCACTGGGCTCATTTCAAGAGAGAACATCCAAATTGTAATAAAAATCATGGCTAGGGTTTGGATGTGGTTTGTATTCCGATATTTTTTATTAAATTTTGTGATACTGCACAACTTCGGATGGGTCATTTTGTGGTTAGGGCCTATTTCTATTAACACATGACATTTGAAGAAATAAATTGATTTTAACCCATCTTTTCAGCTCATTATTTTGTGGAAGTCACAAGAATATTTACAAATTGCAAAAGAACTTGCTGTGTAATACATCCAGCTTCAAATTATAGCAACAGGATGATGTCCCTGTTTTCTTTTACAAGCCGACCTACAATTGAGTTACTAGCACTTAAAGACATTCGCTATCGAGATGGTTTTCTTTTTTTTTTTTTTTTTAGAGATTTTATTTATTTGACAGAGAGAGATCACAAGTGGGCAGAGAGGCAAGCAGAGAGAGAGAGAGGAGGAAGCAGGCTCCCTGCAGAGCAGAGAGCCTGATGTGGGACTCGATCCCAGGACCTTGAGATCATGACCTGAGCTGAAGGCAGAGGCTTAACCCACTGAGCCACCCAGGTGCCCCTCGAGATGGTTTTCAATGCTTTTAAAAGGAAAGAGTAAAGTCTTCTAAAGTGACCATGATACATTTAAGTAAATATTTTCCCCAAAGGTTCCCTGTATAATTGAACTTGAGAAGACACAGGTAAACACACAGGCACGCCATAGTATTTTAGAAAGTAATTTACCATTTCCTCTGATTTTGGAAAGCCCTACATGTAAAATATACAGAATCTGTTGCAATTTCTCACAATACCCTTTTTCCTAAAGGTTTCCCAAGTTGGGTGCCCAATAGCCAGGGCTATTCCCTCAACCAGCTAACCAACGGGCTCGGAGCTCTTAGGGGGAGAAAAATCACTGCTGCTTTTCTCCTCTGTCTTGCGCTCCACTGTCCCCCAAATGGCTTTACAATTGAGTTTACAGATCAAAAGACTTTTTCTACAAATACTCACAAACTTCTGTTGGTATATGCAGAGACTTCCGGAAAAGTCAACATTTACTTAGAGTGAAGAGCTTGGATCTGAGCTGGTGGAGGGATCAGCAGGTTTATCTAACCCAGAAAAACAACTCGAGCAGCTGAACTACACAGGTATTCATCTTGGTCCCCCCAAGGAGCTTGGCTGGCGGCAGTCAAAACCAAAGTGGGAACTTAATAAAAATGAAAATTGTGGTAGCAAAATACACTTACAAGGTTAATGTGACCTCTTGCAGAAAATTTGGGAGGTTAAAGTGGTTTCTATGTAACCACAGTCCTGACTTAGGAAAACCCCAGAGAAACAGCTGCATTTTGATCTACAACTTGCCTTGCCTGAATACGAAACCCCAGCTTTTCAGGGTGTGTGAGTCTTGCGATGCTGGATTTTGAACATGACCTCAGGGGAAAACTGTATGCAGCTCTCATTGAGAAATAACTGGGCTAATAAGACCCGTAGAAGTTTACGGTTACACATGGGGCAAACAAATATTGGCTCCAGGGATCCCAGGGTTCTGTTCTTGGACTACGGAATGACAGAGAGGAGAAAAAGGGAGTACTGATGAAGAAGATTGTGTCTTCGCACGCATGTTCTCTTACCTGCGAATGTCTCCACTTCTGGCACTGGGTCGCAACTGGCCGAGGCAGCCCTGGCAAGATACCTTCCAGCTGCTGGAAGATGAGCCCCTGCACGTCCTCAGTGTCGTGCTCCAAGTGGGTGACTCCAAAGGGGACAGTGGTGTGAACCACAAGGGAAGGCCCGACTTCGGACGACTCTAGTGTAAGAGGAACACAAAGACGCGGCTTGAAGCAGGTCAGAGGGAAACGTCTGTTAGCCTTTCAAATCAGGGTTAAGATCGAATCACAATAAGCAGACCATAAATAGTCCATAAATAGACCATAAATAGGGGGAAACAGATTCTAATCCCTGACCACCAAGTTAGACTATCTCTGAAATTCAAAATCAAGCTTCTCTGAAGAGGAGGACAGAGTCACGATATATATTAGAGAAAAAATTTTCAGATCCTACTAGAGAACCAGAAGGAAGGGGAAAAGGAACATCTAGTAATTTCTGCCTCAGGTAAAATCACCATCTCTCGTCCACTAAATTATAAGTTCCCCAGGGCAGGAGCTGTTTCTCAGGTATCGCTTATACTCTCCTTGAATTCTGAGAACAAAGTAGATGTTCAGTAAACGCTTCTTCATTGTCTGTTAAATGGATTGCAAAATATTTTGTTGAAATTATATAAGTGACAGAATAAAATATGTTTACCACGTTCAAAAAAAAAAAAAATCAAGCTTCTCTCTAAAAATGGGCTTGACTTCCGAACATTCTTTATCTTTGAAGCAGCACTAAGAGTAAAATCATCCTCATTCATCCCACGAACTACTTTCCATTTTTGTTTGCCATGGAGTTTATGTGTTTGTTTTGCAACATTTCCACGAATTCAAATAATGCACGTCACCTTCGTCTCTTTCACTCTTTGGTGGAATACAGAAAAGCGAATGAAGTTTTAGGTTGAGAGCAAAGTGGCTGAGGCATTACAAAACACAGTCTTGACAGGGACGTTAAGAGTCTGCCTGTTGTTATGATTTTAAATCATGTAGAAGAGAAAGTTGAGGGGAGGCAATCATAGATCTAAAAATGCATGAAATAGGGGAGCCTGGGTGGCTCCGTCGGTGAAGCGTCTGCCTTCGGCTCAGGTCATGATCCCAGGGTCCTGGGATCGAGCCCCGCATCAAGCTCCTTGCTCAGCAGGGAGTCTGCTTCTCCCTCTACCCGCCCCCCACTTGTGATCTCTCTCTATCTCTTTCAAAAAAATACATAAATCTTTAAAAACATAAAATGCATGACATAATAAGACATTTGGTTCTCCCCCACCCCTCGCTGAAAGAAGAGAATATTGAAGTGTGTAAGGTCTGACAGGGGCTGGCAAGCCTGATTCTGAAAATTCTCATTTTGGACTGTCGAGGGTAAGACAACGATCTAGATGAGCCGGGTGTGTTTGAACAATTTTACACACTAAAAATATTCCGTGGCACAACATCAAGCCACTAACTTGCTACAGGCCCGCTTACCTTCTTTCCATTTCAGAGTTTTTGTTTTGTTTCATTTTCTGTAAAATCAGAATCTTAGTACTGATCCCACAGGTCTGTGGTGGGGATTATGAGATGAACAGCCGGGAAGAGCTCAGCACAATTTCTGGCACCGACCGGGGGCTTCATCTAGGGGACCCACGAGATCGGAAGCAATACTCCCGATAGAGACAAAAGAAAAGGTCCCGTGGTCTTGCCTGAATGATAGCGCTTTTTTTTTTTTTAAGTGCTTCATTTTCCCACTGCTCTCTGCCCAGAGAATCCTGGATTGTGAATTTTACAGCAGAACGCAGGGGAAGGGGGAGTCCCAAAGCGCTGTGAGCATTTTAAAGCCAGGTGAGGGCTTCCAAATATTTTTATATGCATGAGATAGGAGAGCTGACTTTGGAATCCATGCGGTAAATACAGTGTAAGGAGCCTGTCCCCACAGGGGCTGGAACAACACGGAGGAGGACACGGAGGGACCACCTCTGAACATTCCATGTTAAACCCTCCAGGCTAGATGTTAGCGGTACCTCACACAGGGAAGGACCCAGGAGTTCAAACCCTCCAATCTTGTCACCCATGGGGCAAGGACAGGCTCAGTCCACACAGCATGCAACTCTTGGCCTCAGGGGCCTTGAGTTCAAGCCCCATGTTGGGTGTAGCAATTACTTCAAAATGAAATCTTAAAAAAAAAAAAAAAAATTTGGTCACCCATCTCCCCCCAAGGAGTGTTATTTTGGTTCCCAAGTAATAGATTCAGGGAGGCTTCCTCCCAGCAAGGGGGTGTCAGCCCCATCCCCCTTCCGTTGGGGACCAAATCTTCCCAAAGACAGAGAAAACTACTGGGTCAACCTTCGGAAGCACAAGAGTCGGAGTTCAGAGCTGGATTATGGATGGCAGGCTTCCAAGGAAAGTGAAGGCTAGCCGCGTGCTGGGAATCTGAAGGTTGCGCTGACCCAGCCATTTTGATGGGGGGCTGGGGGGAGGGTTGGGAGTGGGGGAAACTCGTAAAATGATTGAGGGCCGTGATGGTGCCTTGCCAGGTTTCTCCCATTTACATCAGCCATCCACTCTAAGAAAAACAGTAAAAAAGGAAATTTAAGACCCAAAATGAAACCGTTCTTGCATGACAATGAGAGAAAACCTGGCTCTTGTTTTTATTGGAATCAAACAAAAATTTTCCAGAATTTAGATTAAAAGTTGAATCGATGCAACCTGAAACAATGAGTTTGAAGGGACCGCTCCCTTTGCCCCCTCCTTCCACCCCCCCCAAATGAAAGGGTATCTTCAGAAGCTAGGGCCCCAAAATACAAACAGCCAACCGGAGTTTAAACGTGACTCGGGTTTGGAAAGAGACCACTGGGAACAGCCACAAGTAAGTGAGTAGGGTTCAGAGCCCCGAGTCATTATAGTCCATATTTTTGGGTCACTGGGAAGGTGGTAATAATGTTACCTTTCTTCTCCTTCTCTTTATTCAGTTTAATAAGCACAGCACTTCACTTTTGGCATACGAAATGTTAAGTTCTCGTTAAGACGACAAATGTTTCTGTCCACTGGGAGATCAGGGGCTTTAGTGGGAAGGTAAGTACTTGAACCTGAGCACCCTAACGGCCCAGTGGTCCCGGACAACTTAATCTCTGGGGCCTCACCTTCGCACATCAATTAAAAGGGAACATTACTATGTACCTTACAAGGCTGTCACAAGTGTTAAATGGATGAGGACACATAAAACCTTTCTTCAGACAAGAAGTGCTACCCAAATGCGACAGACTCCCAGATCATACTCTTGTTTCGGCCTCTATGCCATAGCAAGAGTCGCTTCAGAAGGGGAAAATAGTGTTGGCTTCTCTCAAAGCTTGAAGACTGATGATTGTATCAACACCCCAGGAACCGTGGCAGACTATTCCTGGATACAGACACAGCAGTTTTTATATATTTGTTTATTGTGGTAAAATAGACATAATCTAAAATTCACCACTTTAACCTGTTTTAAGTATGCAGTAGTCTCGCATTAAGTACACCCACATTGCCCTACAATCATCACGGACGTGGGTACCCAGAGCTTTTTAATCTCTCCGTGTCAAGTCTACACCCAGGAAATGCGGAGCCCCTCCATCCCCATTCCCCCAGCCCCCGTCAACCACCATTCTGTTCCTCTCTCTGATTCCCACTACTTGACGTGGCTCATAGACACGGAATAATATGACATCCTTTCAGGATGGGTTTATTTCATCTAGCATGATGTCTGTAAGGCTCACCTGTGTTGCAACAAGTGTCTGAACCCCCTTCCTCTTTAAGACGGAATTATTCCAGGGTACGGATGGACCACGTTTTGCGTACTCAGTCATCTGTCCATCCATTTATGCGTTCTTCCGCCTTCTGGCTGTTTTGAATGAGGCTGATATGAACACGGGGCACCCATATGTATTTGAGGCCCTGCTTTCCCTTCTTTTGGGTGTGTGCCCAGGTGTGGGATGGCTGGACCATATGGCAATGCTATGTTTAAATGTCTGAGGAACCACCGTATCGATTTCCCACAGCGGCTGCCCCATTTCCTCATTCCCACCAGCAAGGTACAAAGCGTCCAATTTCTCTGCATCCTCGTCAACACTTGTTATTTTGTTTTATTTGTTATAATAGCCATTAGTCCACAGTTTTGAATGGGGTCAAAGAGCTAAGAGTTGGTTAACAACAGCATGAGCCCCAGCGTTAGCAGTGGGGCAGAATTTCTGTCTACGGCCGATGGAATACCGAGCTCAAGAAGGCCCTCCAGGGAAATACTTACAAAGCTGTCCCCTGTCCCCCAGACAAAAACTGAAATTTATCTTAAAATAAGGACATGAGCTGCCTCAGAGCCACGGTCAGATCAATCATAAAAAGAACCACTAAGAGGTTAAACACACTGAAAGACACAATGCTACTTATAACAAAATACATTTGTTTAAAGACTTTATCTCTTCAGAGAGCAAAAGCGTGAGGGGTAGAGAGGGGCAGGCGCAGAGGAGAGAGCGTCTCAACCAGGCTCCACGCCCAGCACAGAGCCTGACGCTCGATCCCACGACCCTGAGACCGTGACCTGAGCTGAAATCAAGAGTCAGACACTTAACGGACTGAGCCTCCCAGATGCCCCAATAAAACCATTTTTAAAAGAAATCCTGACTCAATTGTGTTGAGTCAAAGAATGTGATCTGTATGATACTTTAAGATCTCTGCAATGGCTTCAAACATCATCAGTTTTCCTAAGTGTTACTGTGTGCTTGAGTGGTTTTTAGTCATTGAATTAAATTTTAGTTAAGTCTGCTAGGACAATCTTATCAACTGTGTGGTTCTAATCAACTAAGTTCTTATGAATTGTCTGCCTGATCAATTAGTGAAAGAGGTATATTAAACATCTGTCCTGAATATGGTAAAATTCCCAGTTTCTCCTTTTAGTCCTGACAATGTTTGCTTCATACTGAAGCTGTTACCAGTTTCCGGCTATTTCCTGATGCCTTTTAACAATCCTCTGTGAACATCTTTACATTTAGAAATGCCTTGAAGTTTATTTTCTATTTTTTATTTGTTCCACTCTTCCAACATTTGTTTCTTTTTAAAATTTTTTTAAAAATTGCCTTCTTTTTGTTTAAACCGCTTTTACCCTTTATTTCATTTTTCCTCTTTCCTAGTTTGGACATTATATACTTGGTTTCTGTTT